GTTCCCGTGAAAATAACATTTCCGAATATTCTAAGATTTGACTCTGCTTCAGAAAAAGGTCACTGCAGAAGTTTTAAAGCCTAATGAAATTTAGCGTACAACCCTCTCGTCCGACTCTCCACCGCCACAAAAGAAGTATATTTACTCGGCTCAATGAATTAAATAAAAAAAATCAAGAAATCATTTACGCGAATTTGAGAAACAATTCACAAAAAGTACGTTTAACAACGAGATTATCATCAGCGTTTATGTAATATTAAATTTGGTTTTCATTATTATGAAGTAATAATATCGCAGCCGTTTGCACATTCGGGTTGCGAGAACGATCAATGTCTGCCTACACCAGTGAACGCCTTTCATAAACAACATAGATAACCACTTCGTAAACATCAAAGTAAACTACAAACGCCTAATAAAAACATCGATTCGACTTGTAAACATGTGATAAACAAGTGCTCAAAGAATAAAGATGAAGCGGAAAAACAGAAACAAATTCAATAAACAAAATAAGAACACTTCGAAAAATGCACTTTTCTGAGCGCAAGTTTGGGAAGGAGAACAAATGCCATAGTGGGATATTGAAGAACACTGAAATCGGCATCGACCAGGGCCCATGAATTTCTGCCATTAAAGGGTTTCGGAGCACACAGCTCCTAATGCCCAGAGCAGAATGGCTAAGGAGTGACATCATACGCGTTAGCAACAGCACTTCATGGATGATCGATTTCCACAAAGCATGCTGAGCACTTTACCCGTTCAAAGCTATTTGATATCATTCAAAATGTGCGCAGGAACAGAAATATCGGAAATATTCCAACCATCAGCTGGATACACTCATCCTTGCACCCCTTGCACAATCAATTTTGCGATATCAGAAAAACGACTATTTTGGAAGCCTTCTATTATACTTTTAACTTTCAATTCGTTTTCCGATAGATATAGCTGAGCACATTTCTCCTATTCAACATGCCGGCAAGGGAAGAGGTTGCTTCTGCTAATACGATGGCAGCGAAAAAATCTACACCACCATCATTAGCGAAGAAAGATTTTTTTTTAAAAAGCATAATTTTAAAGTCGTATTTCTCTTAAAACAAATTGCCCCTTCACTTGCGAAATCGAGTTTAAAGTATGTACATTCACCGACTTTCAAAGCGAACATCAATCAAAGTACAGGGGTAATGCGCGAGTAGTCTGTAACGTTGTACTTTGTAACATGTTAAAAGGGGAAGAATAGATAAGATCTGTTTTATGAAAGGCCATTGGCATACATACATGGAAAATTCAGTAAAGAAATATTTTTGCATAGAAACTGATGAGCAAAATAATATTACAATTAGAACAAGAAGGAATTGAGGAAAAAAAGAATTCTATGATGGGGGTAATGAAGAAAGGTTTCACGCCAACTTTCAGCTTCCCAGTCCATATGGACCTGCTCAGTATAAATTCTTTGATGGTATTTGTATAAAGTATTACGGTCAAATGCACGCAAAAAAATCGGGTTGTTGTTGCTGGCACACTTTTTTGTAAGTTACATGTAAGCTTTATGACTCACGCCTTTGTTTCTATCAACGTTAACCATGATCTGTCTCGGATGAGACTTGAAAATATCAATATAAATATTGGGAATATGAGAGAAACTAGTGATATTTACGATACAAAAAATAACAATTAGATGTTAAGAATGAATGAAAGCAAATGGACTGACGACAGATAAAAATGAAAGAATGTGAAGTTGACCATTGCATAATTCTTTATTAGACGTATAACGAAACTAACTGCTTGGTCGTGATCTGAACCGTCTGTGGAAGTTTCTAGTTCGAGAACGTTTCCTCTTCTTTCAAGTAGCTTTCTGATAAAGTTAAACAACATAGCAGATGCTCTTTTTGAGGCTACTATAGAGCCAAAGTGGGGAACTAAAATATTCTACCTTAGGACGAACGTCGCAATTTAGATGGGCCTCACTTTGCCGTAAAACAGTGATTTTGTAGTAGTAAAGTAATCATCAGTAGCTCCCTTAAAGAGACTAGATTTTATGGAAGAGCAATATTATTACGAATGAGCCAAGTAAATGATCAGTTTCTCTAACGGATTCTATGGTCATTTTGAATACGATCTCCCTATCATCCACATAAAATTTAACCTATATGAACTCTTTTCAGTATTGTGAT